ATCACGGCGGGAGGTTTTTGCTGATTCTCGGCCTCGGGTGGCCCTCGCCAGCGCAGGAAAAGGGTCCAGGTCTCTCCGGGGATCCGCGCTGCGAGACAAACAGCCACGACGTCAGAGTTCTGGGGAGCATGGGGGGAGTATGCAGGAGTAGGGGGGAGTGGGGGGGAGCAGGGGAAGGGGGAGGGAAGGGAGGGAGTAGGGGGATGGGGAGGGAAGGGAGGGAGTATGGGGAGGGAGGGGGGGAGGGAAGATGAGGAGGAGGATGAGGAGAAAGAGGAGGAGGCATTTATGGAGGAAGGGGGGAGGCCGAGGCCCTTAAATCATCTCCTCAACTCCTGGGAGTTACATTCAGCATCCGCGCTGATTTTATCCGTGGTCGACAACCGGCCTAATCTGGCAATTGCCTCTAATCCTGCTGAGTCCCGTTCTATCTGGCTTACTCTTGGGCTCGGTCCGGCCTGGCTCGGCATCGTGGCCTCCTGATCGGGCTCGGTAGCCCCGAATCTGTCTCACGAAGGCCCTCCAGGATCCGCCTCCAAAGTTTTCCCCTCCCCTCCCTCCACCTCCTTCCCCGTCCCCCCAACGCCCCCCCCCATTCATTGGCTTCTTCCCTCCGCCACGATGATCAGCGGCCTCGCGGCCGGGACGGGGAAGATGCGAAGCCTGTTCTCGTCCAGCAAGGACGGCCCCGTGGAGCTGCTCGAGGAGTCGCCTCCCTATCCCTCCAGCCTCGTCTTCTCCCTAGTCCTTCTCCTCCTCCTCCTCTTTCGCCTCCTCGTGTCCCTCCCTCCCTCCCTCCCTCCCCTTCTCCCTCCCTCCCTCCTCATCCTCCCTCTTCCCTTCTCCTCCCTTCTCCCTCCTTGTCCCTCCTTCTCCCTCCTCCTCCTCCTCGTCCCCCTTTCCCCTCCTCATCGCGTTCCTCCTTTTCATCCTACTCGACCTCCTCATCCTCTTCATCCGCCCTCTGGCCTCCGCTCTTCCTCGTTTTTTTCCCGGAAAGGGCACGGGCCCAGGGTTCTCTTTTAGTGGGTAAACCTGTCCCCCGGTGCCTGCTTGAAGGAGGCCGGCGAAATTTTTCCCTGATAAATAACGAGGTCGAAGGAGGCCGGCGAATTAAAATTTGAGGATGTCTCGAGCGAAACGCTTGTTTTTCAGAATTTCTTGAGGATGTCTCGAGCGAAACGCGGGTTTTGCAGAGTTGAGGATGTCTCGCGCGAAAGCTGCTCCGCAGAGTTTGCCGAGGATGTCTCGAGCGAAACGCATGTTTTTTTTTGCAGAGAGCGACCGCGACGCGGAAAAGCGCCCCGCGCGAAGGAATTTCGATGATGTCTCGACTAATTCGTTTGTTTTTGTACGATTTCCTGGAATTTTGGCAGGATGTCTCGAGCGAAATGCACGACCCCACCCTAGCACGACCATACCCCAGCACGACCACACCCCAGCACGACCAGACCCCAGCACGACCCCACCCCAGCACGACCCCACCCCAGCACGACCATACCCCAGCACGACCACACCCCAGCACGACCCGACCCCAGCACGACCCTACCCCAGCAAGACCACACCCCAGCACGACCACACCCCAGCACGACCTCACCACAGCACGACCACACCCCAGCACGACCACGCCCCAGCACGACCACGCCCCAGCACGACCACGCCCCAGCACGACCACCCCCCAGCACGACCACCCCCGGGCAGACCACCCCCAGCACGACCACCCCAGCACGACCACACCCCAGCACGACCACTCCCCAGCACGACCACACCCCAGCACGACCACACCCCAGCACGACCACACCCAGTCGCACCCCCGTGGATGTTTCGTGGCGTGTCTGGTTGAGTGGTTGCCTGTTCGTGGGGTGTCTCGTGGAATGTTTCACGGGGTGTCTCGTGGAATGTTTCGTGAGGTGTCTCGTGGAAAGTTTCGTGAGGTGTCTCGTGGGATGTTTCGCGGGGTGTCTCGTGGGATGTTTCGTGAGATGTCGCCCAGTTGGGTATCGTGAAAACGTGACCATGCTGCACATGTCTTTATCCCTTTCCGGGTTCGTGGGTCCATCATGTTTAGTTTGTTTGTTGCGTCAGCCAGTCTGAAGCCCCAAAGTCGGGGCGCCAGGACATGGAGAAACGACTTGCAGCAGCAACTGCCAGAAAACAGCGGGCAGGCAACCAAACATGCGAAGAGCAGAGAAGCCTGGGGAGGCGTTAAGCAGCTGTGCTTCGTCCTCCTTCCTCCTGCTCGTGTCCCTCCTCCTCCTCCTCCTCCTCCTCCTCCTCCTCCTCCTCCTCCTCCTCCTCCTCCTCCTCCTCCTCCCCCTCCCCCTCCTCGTCCCCCTCCTCCCCCTCCTCGTCCTCCTCCTCCTCCTCCTCCGCAGTTGCACAATGTGAATACTACTTTCCCCTCTCCCCTGAATGTGTGCAGATAGTGTCCTGAGAGTAGCTCCTCCCCCCCTTCGCGTATTGTTTTGTACAGATGTTTTGCGCGGGCGAGCTCTTCTAGTGTGGTTTATACATTCGATCGGTTGTGCTCCATCCAAAATGGCGCTCCCGCCATGTCGTCGGTACTCTTTCCGCATTCCCGGTCCTTCAATATGGCGCCCCTGCTGCAGCATTGGCCTCGGATCCGCGTTCTCGGTCTTTCTCAATGGTGGTCCCGCTGTCGCGTTTGCCTCAATCTGCGTGTTTTGGCCCTTCAGAGTAGTGGTTCAGTCGTGCCGCTCCGCTGCAGCCTTAGCCTCGTCTCCACCGCTGTCGCCACCGCCGGCGTCTTCGTCGTCGTCCTCGTCATCTCCTCTGTCATCGTCGTCGTTGTTTTCATTTTCCTCCTCCCCCCGTCCTGCTCCTGCCCCCCTGCCTCCTCCTCGTCCTCCTCACTTCTCTCCTCCTTTGTTTCCCTCCTGCTCCTCTTTCCTCGTTCTTCACCCTCGTCGTCCTCCTCCAGCTGCTCCTCCTCCTCCTCCTCCTCCTTCTCCTCCTCCTCAACCCCCCTCCATCACCTTGACTCCCGCATTTATCTCCTTCCTTCCTTTTCCTCCTTATCCTCCTTTTGCCCCCCCCGTCTCTTCGAATCCCAGCCCCTTTTCTCCCACACCCGTTAGCTCTGCCTCGAAGGCGCTCCGAGGCCTCGGCTTCGGTCCGCGTGTCAAGGCTTCCCGGTCCCTTCTGGCCCCTGTGCCCTTCGCGCGGTGAACGACGGGTCAAGCATCCCATGTACCATTCGGGCATGCGTGTCAGATTCGATACCCGATTCGGTGAGAAGACGAATGATTAGCGCGATGGGAAGGCATAGGCTGGAGGGGTAGGATGCCAGATGTAGCGCGAGCGCGCTTGTCCCCTCCCCCTCTCCCTCCTCCTCCTCCTCCTCTCCTCCTCCTTCCATCATGACTCTCTCTCCCCCTCCCCCTGTCTTCCTCCTCCATTTCTTTTCCTCATATCTAACCCCTCCATGTCGCATCGAGCAGAGTCGAAAGGGCGGCCCGGGCTTTTCGCTTGAGACTTCCTCAACACTTATGACCCTGATGCGTTAACTTTGGCAGGGCGGGTGGTTTTCAAAATGTGACTCTCGCTTACCGCCGCGCGCATTCTTTTTTCCCGGAAAGGGCGTAGGCCCAGGGTTCTCTTTTAGTTTGTAAACTGTCCCCCGGTGCCTGCTTGAAGGAGGCCGGCGAAATTTTTCCCTGATAAATAACGAGGTCGAAGGAGGCCGGCGAATTAAAATTTGAGGATGTCTCGAGCGAAACGCTTGTTTTTGAAATCCCGATCGATAAATCACAGGGTGCGGGACACCTCAGCACGACCACACCTTCAGCATGACCACACATCAGCACGACCACGCCCAGCACGACCACGCCCCAGCACGACCACACCCCAGCACGAACACACCTCAGCACGACCACACCCCAGCACGACCACACCCCAGCACGACCACACCCCAGCACCAGCACGACCACACCCCAGCACGACCCGATCGATAAGTCACAGGGTGCGGACCACCCCAGCACGACCACACCCCAGCACGACCCCACTCCAGCACGACCCCACCCCAGCACGACCACGCCCCAGCACGACCACACCCCAACACGACCACACTTCAGCACGACCACACCCCAGCACGACCCCGACCCAGCACGACCCCACCCCAGCCCGACCACACCCCAGCACGACCACACCCCAGAACGACCACACCCCAGCCCGACCCCACCCAAGCACGACCCCACCCCAGCACGACCACACCCCAGCAGGACCACACCCCAGCACGACCACATCCCAGCAGGACCCCACCGCAGCAAGACCACACCCCAGCACGACCACACCCCAGCACGACCTCACCACAGCACGACCACACCCCAGCACGACCACGCCCCAGCACGACCACGCCCCAGCACCACCACGCCCCAGCACGACCCCCCCCAGCACGACCACCCCCCCAGCACGACCACACCCAGCACGACCACCCCCCAGCACGCCCACCCCCCAGCACGACCACTCCCCAGCACGACCACACCGCCTTGGTGTGAGTTGGTTGCCTGTCGTCGTGGAATGTTTTCGTGGGGTGTCTCGTGGAATGTTTCGCGGGGTGTCTCGCGGAAATGTTTCGTGAGGTGTCTCGTGGTGGTTCGTGAGTGTCTCGTGGGCTGTTTCGTGAGGTGTCTCGTGGGATGTTTCGTGAGGTGTTGCCCGTTGGGTATCGTGAAAACGTGCCCATGCTCCACATGTCTATATCCCTTTCCGGGTTCGTGGGTCCATCATGTTTGCAATCGCAAGAGTTTCACGAGGTGAGGGCAGGTGGATTTCAACATGTGGCTCTCGCATAGCGCCGCGCACATTCACTGATGTTTTCCCGGAAAGGGCGTCAGGGCCCAGGGTTCTCTTTTAGTGGGTAAACCTGTCCCCCGGTGCCAACTTGAGGGAGGCCGGCGAATTTTTTCCCTGATAAATAACGAGGTCGAAGGAGGCCGGCGAATTAAAATTTGAGGATGTCTCGAGCGAAACGCTTGTTTTTGAAATCCCGATCGATAAATCACAGGGTGCGGGACACTCTCAGCACGACCACACCCCAGCATGACCACACCCCAGCACGACCACGCCCAGCACGACCACGCCCCAGCACGACCACACCCCAGCACGACCACACCCCAGCACGACAACCCAGCACGACACACCCCAGCACGACCACACCCCAGCACGACCACACCCAGCACGACCCGATCGAGAAATCAAGGGTACCAGGACCACACCCAGCACGACCACGACCAGCACGACCCTACCCCAGCACGACCACGCCCCACCCCACCCAGCACGCCACACCCCAGCACGACCACACCCCGCACGACCCCACCCCAGCACGACCCCACCCTAGCCACGACCACACCCAGCACGACCACACCCCAGAACGACCAACCCAGCACTCGACCCCACCAAGCACGACCACCCAGCACGACCACACCCCAGCACGACCAACCCCAGCAGGGCCCCACCCCAGCACGACCCCACCCAGCAAGACCACACCCAGCACGACCACACCCCAGCACGACTCACCACAGCACGACCACACCCCAGCACGACCACGCCCCAGCACGACCACGCCCCAGCACCACCACGCCCAGCACCGACACCCCCCAGCACGACCACCCCCCAGCACGACCACCCCCCAGCACGACCACCCCCCAGCACGACCACTCCCCAGCACGACCACACCGCCTTGGTTGAGTGGTTGCCTGTCGTCGTGGAATGTTTCGCGGGGTGTCTCGTGGAATGTTTCGTGAGGTGTCTCGTGGAATGTTTCGTGAGGTGTCTCGTGGGATGTTTCGTGAAGTGTCTCGTGTGATGTTTCGTGAGGTGTTGCCCAGTTGGGTATCGTGAAAACGTGTCCATGCTCCACATGTCTATATCCCTTTCCGGGTTCGTGGGTCCATCATGTTTTGCAAGAGTTTCATGGATTGAGGGCCGCACGTTTTCGAAATGTGGCTCTCGCCTTAGCGCCGCGCACATTCGTTTTGAAACCTTGTAAGAGTTTCATGGATTGAGGGCGGCTCGTTTTCAACATATGACTCTCGCTTCAACGCCGCGCGTATTCGTTTTAATTAATCGCAAGAGTTTTACGGATTGAGGGCGGCTCGTTTTTAGAATGTGGCTCCCGCCTTAGCGCTGCGCACAAACGTTTCCAACTTTGCAAGAGTTTCACGGATTGAGAACGGTTCCTTTTCAGACTGTGGCTCTCGCTTAAAATTTGAAAAAGGGGTTCATTGGTCGTCACGGTTAACGTTTCAGAACAGATGTTTTGAAACGATTCAGGACTGTCAGGGCGTAGCAGTTACGTTGATTCGCGGTGTTGAAGTTCTAGGACTGGTACGGTTCAGGATTGCCAGGACGTAACAGTCAGATTAACTCGTGGCGTTGAAATCCTGGGAATGGCGTTTTGGTTCAGAAGGGGGCATTTTCCCCAGTGGAAATGACCCATTGTGGGGCCAGTGGAGAGGGAGCTTGGAGGGAGAGTGTATTTCAACATCGTTGATGGGTCTTGGGTTTACATTGGTTCTTCTCATCCTACTCCTCCTCCTCCTCCCGCCTTCTCCTCCTCCTCCTCTTCCTCCCGCCTCTTTCGAGGAGGACGACAGCGCCGCCACCGCCTGGCAGCAGGGGCCCGTCAGCGGCGGCTCCGCCTGGCAGCAGGCGGCGGACGGCGGCGGCGGAGCGCCTTGGAGCCAGGCCTGGAGCAGCAACGACAGCAACGAGGAGAAGGAGGAGGAGGAGGAGGAGGAGGGGGAGGAGGAGGAGGAGGAGGGGGAGGAGGAGGAAAAGGAGGAGGAGGAGGAGGAGGAGGAGGGGGAGGAGGATGAGGTTCGGTCCAGTCGTTCTCGAAGGCGCGAGTCTCTCTCGCAGCTGCTGGGCGAGTGCCGCCCCCATGGGAAATGAGAGCCGAAGGAGGATGAGGAGGTGGGAGTGGGATCGGGAGGATGGTCAGGAATGGGATGAGGAGGAGGAATAGGAGGGATGGAGGGGGAGGGAGGAGAAGGAGGAGGAGGAGGTTTCTGATGATGATGACGACGATGATGATGATGATGCTGATGATGATGATGATGATGATGATGATGATGATGATGGTGATGGTGATGGTGATGGTGATGGTGATGGTGATTGTGATGATGACGATGCTGATGCTGATGCTGATGCTGATGCTGATGATGATGATGATGATGATGACGATGACGATGATGATAATGATGATGATGATGATGCTGATGATGATGATGATGATGATGATGATGATGATGATGATGAGGAGGAGGAGGAGGAGGAGGAGGAGGAGGAGGAGGAGGAGGAGGAGGAGGATGAGGAGGAGGAGGAGGAGGAGGAGGAAGAGCAGGAGGACACACGAGGCGACTATCAGAGATGACGGACAGCTGCGACCTGGACAACGCGGCCCCGGATATCGCTGCAATGATACGGGCTTTGGCCTACATCTTGGACCATGGGCTAAGACTGAAGGTGCTGCACATGATCAACGGTTGCCCCGCGACGCCATATCAGGTGCGGAGCGCGCGTGCCCTTTTATCAGCCGTTTGAAGCTCTCGCTGTACTTGTGCATGAGGTATGCCACAAGCACTGGGTGGAGTTATGACGCAGCAGAACTCACAACTTCGACTCCCGCATCAGCTGGCGAATGCGACGGCCAAGTGCATTACTAAACATGAAGCAGAGGTTGTACTATGAATAGCTGGGAGTGTTTAATTGCTACGACTCTGTTATGGCATTTTTCGATTTCGGTATGGCGCTTCCTCTACGATCGTCTGCGTTTCTCGTCGTCCAACTGCCGCGCGGCGTGGCCAGCCTGAAAGGATCATTCAGACGGGCGCGATCCAGAAACCGAGCTGTATGAACTTGCGTTTGAAGTGAGGCCAGCAGGGACGCCAACTCAGATAGATTACGATGTGGCGATCTACGTTGCGATTGCGGCCAGACCAAGGCCATGGAGGAATGAGGTCGAGGAATCCATTCGGCTGAGGGCCGACGTATCACACGCACTACGAGCCCAGCTTCAGGATCTGATAGGACTACAGGAGGCAAGGGGGACGTAACCCGAGCACAACGCACGTGGATGCATCGCAGCCAGGTCGTGAGGCGATGAAGGGCGGGCACGGCTATTGGCTACTCATATCCACCGAGGTGAACTATGCTGGAAGACCGCATACACGGCACTGGCCAAAGAGGCTCTCAATCTGACCTCCATGGGCGCGACATGCCACAGCAGAAAGTGCTTACAAGGCTTGCCGCTGATCGTGGGTCCGGAACAAGCGGACATGTCAGGTCGAGCACGAGGCAGCTAGACAAATGGTGCAGGATAGGAAGTGACGTCCTGGGAAACCCAAAAATCAACGGATGTCCTGGGGTCGAACCCAAAAATCAATGGACGTCTTGGGGTCTCAAGGTTGGGTTTCTTGTGGAAGGTTTCTTGTGGTCGAGCTCCTATTGTATTCCTCTCCCGGGGCGGAGGCTTACCGGATCGGAGGTGGATGGTGTGTTTGCCGGATGTCTTGGCGGCGCCCGTGTGTTGGCAGGTCGATCGTGCTGTCTCGTTCGGTCGTGCACGGCCGAGACACATTCCGGGATTTCCGCAACACGGGAACGCAGGAGGAGGGGGAACAAGGAGAATAGGGGGGAGGAGGAGGAGGAGGAGGGGGAGGAGGAGGAGGAGGAGGAGGAGCAGGAATAACGGGATCGGGAAGAAAACGAAGACAAAGAGGAGGAGGAGGAAGGAGGGGGATGAAGCTGATGATGATGATGCTGATGATGATGCTGATGCTGCTGATGATGATGACGATGATGATGAGGATGATGAATCTTATGATGATGAAGATTCTGCTGATGCTGCTGATGATGATGGTAGTGGTGGTGGTGATGATGATGATGATGGTGCTGGTTGTGATGGTGGTGATGAGGATGGTGGTGATGATGATGATCATGATGATGGTGGTGGTGGTGAGGATGATCGTGGTGGTGGCGGTGGTGATGATGATAATGATGATGGTGGTAATGATGATGATGCTGCTGCTGATACTGCTGCTGATGGTGACGCTGCTGTTCTTATTGATGGTGATAATGTTCATTCTGCTTCTGCTGGTACAGTTGATGAGGAAAGTTGAGGATGATGATGATGCTGTGGATGATGATGCTGATGATGCTGCTGCTGCTGCTGATGATGATGATGATGATGATGGTGGGGAGGACGAGAAGGAGGAGAAGGCTGCGAATGAGAAGGGACACCAGCAGGTTAACGTTGAGGAGGAGGAGGACGTTGACGATGATGGGGAGGAGGAGGCGGAGGAGGAGCAGGATGAGGAGGAGGAAGAGGTGTAGGAGAACGAGCAGGAGGCCGAATAGGAGGGGGGATGGGGACGGGTATAATGATGATGCTGATGATGATGATGATGATTATGTTGTTGATGATGATGACGATGCTGATGCTGATGATGATGCTGTTGATGATGCGGCGGAAACGGAGGAGGAATTCTGGTGTTGCTGATAATGATGACGATGACGATGATGACGATGATGACGATGATGACGATGATGATGATGCTGATGCCGATGATGATGATATGACGTGATGATGATACTGATGAGGATGATGATGATGATGATGATGATGATGATGATGATCACAATGACGACGACGTTGACGACGACGTTGATGATGATGATGATGATGATGATGCTGATGCTGATGATACTGCTGATGCTGATGATGACGCTGCTGCTGAGACTGATGATGATGATGATGATGATGATGATGATGATGCATGGTTATGATGCTCATGATGATGCTGCTGATGCTTATGCTGATGCTGGTGCTGATGATGATGCTGATGATGATGATGGTGGTGATACTGATGATGATGCTGCTGCTGCTGCTGCTGCTGCTGCTGATGATTATGATACTGATGATGCTGCTGACGATGATGATGGTGGTGATGATGATATTGATGGTGGTGGTGGTGGTGATGATGATGATGATGAAGATGATGATGGTGGTGGTGATGCTGGAAATGATCATGACTGGTGATGGGGATGAGGAGGTCGACGACGACGCTGACGATGATGATGATGATGATGATGATGATGATGATGATGATGATGATGATGATGACGGTGGTGGTGGTGGTGGTGGTGATTGTGGTGGTGGTGGTGGTTGTGGTGATGATGGTGATGCTGCTGAAGCTGATGTTGGTGAATCTTCCTGATCATGATGACGATGCTGATGATGATGATTATGATGATGATGGAGGTGGTGTTATCGGTGATGATGATGACGACGACGGCCCCGATGGCGACTACGACGATGACGATGACAATGACGCTGATGACGACGACGATGATGATCATGATGATGACGACAATGACGATAACGATGCTGATGATGCTGAGGCTGATGCTGATGCTGCTGCTGATGATGATGATGATGATGAGCACGGGGAGGACGAGGAGGAGGAAGAGGCGGAGGACGAGAAGCAGGAGGAGGAAGAAGAAGAACCAGAGGAGAAGGAGGAGCAACATGAGGAGGAGGAAGGGAGGAGGAGGAGAATGACGTTTTTTAGGTGGAGGAGTAGGAGGAGTTGGAGGAGGAGGAGGAGAAGAAGGAGGAGGAGGAGGAGGAGGAGGAGAGGGATGATGGTGATGCTGCTGATGATGCTCATGATGCTGTTGATGATAATGATGGGGATGATGATGATGATGATGATGATGATGATGATGATGATGATGTTGATGCTGATGACGATGATGATGATGATGATTATGATGATGATGATGGTGATGATGATGATGGTGATGATAATGGTACTGATGATGATGGTTGTGATTCTGATGTTGATGAGGATACTGATGATGATGATAGTGATGCTGCTGCTGATGATGATGATGCTGCTGATGTTAATGACTATGCTGGTGCTGATGATGATGATGTCGATGATGATGATGATGATGCTGGTGAACATGATGATGCTTATGAAGATGACGATGCTGTTGTTGATGATGATTATGCTGCTGCTGCTGATGATGATGATGATACGGTCGACGATGACGACGATGCTGATGACGATGACGATGATGATGATGATGATGATGATGATGATGCTGGCGATGATGCTGGCGATGATGAAGAATTACGATGCTGCTGATGCTCATGCTGATGCTCATGCCGCTGCTGATGATGATGATGCTGGTAGTGATGCCGATGATGACGATGATGCGGATGATGATGATGCTGATGATGATGGTATAGATGATGATGCTGATGATGATGATGCTGCTGATGATGCATGTTTATGATGATGCTGATGCTCATGCTGATGCTGCTGCTGATGATGATGATGATGGTGGTGATACTGATGGTGATGCTGATGATGATGATGATAATTATAATGATGATGATAATGATGATGATGGTGGTGATGATGATGCTGTTGCTGATGATGATGCTGATGATGGTGATGCTGATGCTGATGCTGATGATGATGATGAGATGATGATGATGATGATGATGATGATGATGATGATGATGATGCTGATGGTTGTGATGATGATGATGATGACGATGATGATTATGGTTGTGATGGTGGCGGTAATGATGATGATGATGATGATGATGATGATGATGATGATGATGATGATGATGATGATGATGATGATGATGATGATGATGATGATGCTGATGGTTGTGATGATGATGATGATGATGATGATGATGATGATGATGATGATGTTGATGATGCTGATGGTTGTGATGATGATGATGAGATGATGTGGATGATGGATGAATGATTGATGGATGATGATGATGATGATGATGATGATGATCGATGATGATGTATGATGAGGATGATGAGGATGATTGAGGAATGAGGATGATGATGGATGAGGCAGGAGGAGGAGGAGGAGGAGGAGGAGGAGAAAGTGGAGGAGGAGGCGGAGGCGGGGACGGAGAAAGATGAGGATGATGTTGTGTGGGAGGAGGAGGATGAGAGGAGGAGGAGGAGTGAGGCGGAGGAGGAGGAGGAGGAGGAGGAGGGGGAGCAGGGGGAGGAGGAGGAGGAGGAGGAGTAGGAGGAGGAGGAGGACGAGGAGGAGCAGGATGAGGAACAAGAACAAGGACACATAAGAAAAATATGAGGAGGTGGTGCAGGAGGAGGAGGTCGAGGAGGAGGAGGAGCAGGAGGAGGACGATGAATAAGAAGGCACTTAAGAAAAAGAGGAGGAGAAGGAGGAGGAGAAAGAGGAAGAGGAGGAGGAGGAGGAGGAGGAGGAGGAGGAGGACGGGGAGGATGAGGGTGAGGATGAGGTTGAGGAGGAACAGCAGCAGAAGGTTGGGAAGAGGAGGAGGGGAGGGATTGATGAGGGGCCAGGAGGGAGCCAGGCACGGAGCGTGCGGGAGCAGCTGCAGTCGGAGCTCCGGCGCGAGAAGGCAAGCCCAGCGGTGCCGGCGGCCGATGCCGCGTCACCAGGCCGTGGGTGAAGGGGAGGAGGCGGGGTTCGGAGGGGGAGGGGAAATGGGGGAGGGGGAAGCGGAAGAGGACGTGAGTGGAGGAGGGGGAGGAGGGGGGCCAGGATGGGGAGAAAAGGAGAAGGGGAGGTGGAAGGGAAGCGGACGTGGAGGGGGACGGGGAGGACGAGGGGGCCAGGATGGGGAGAGGGAAGAGGGGAAGGGGGAATGGGGAAGAGGACGTTGAGGGGGATGGGGATGAGGAGTAATCCAGGATGGGGAGGGGGAGAGGGAGTGGGAAGGGGAAGAAGACGTTCAGGGGGAGGGGGATGGGGGCCAGGATGGGGCGAGGGAGGAGGTGGAGGGGGAAGGTGAGCAGGAAGGGAGCGAGGGTAGGGAGGAAGAGGGGCCAGAGTCGTTATGTTTGCTCCCTCCACCTCTTTTTCCCGGAAAGGGCATGGGCCCAGGGTTCTCTTTTTAGTGGTAAACCTGTCCCCCGGTGCCAACTTGAGGGAGGCCGGCGAATTTTTTTCCCTGATAAATAACGAGGTCGAAGGAGGCCGGCGAATTAAAATTTGAGGATGTCTCGAGCGAAACGCTTGTTCCGGAAAGGGCATGAGCCCAGGGTTCTCTTTTAGTGGTAAACCTGTCCCCCGGTGCCAACTTGAGGGAGGCCGGCGAATTTTTTCCCTGATAAATAACGAGGTCGAAGGAGGCCGGCGAATTAAAATTTGAGGATGTCTCGAGCGAAACGCTTGTTTTTCAGAAAATGGTGAGGATGTCTCGAGCGAAACGCTTGTTTTGTGTTATAGATTGTCCTCTCCTGGGGAACTGAATTCTGAGGACCACTCCCCACTACGACCCACCCCCGCACGACCACCCCAGCACGACCACCCCACAGCACACCACACCCCAGGCACGACCACTCCCAGCACGGACCAACACCCCAGCACGACCACACCCCAGACGACCACACCCCAGCACTAACCGATCGATAAATCACGGGTGCGGAGCACCCAGCACGAAACCCACCCAGCAACGACCCCCACCCAGCACGACCCCCCAGCACGACAACGCCCCAGCAGACCACACCCCAGCACGACCACACCCCAGCACGACCACTCCCCAGCACGCCCCACCCAGCCACGACCCCACCCTAGCACGGACAACACCCAGCACGACCACACCCCAGCACCGACCACACCCAGCACGATCACCCCACCAGCACGACCCAAACCCAGCAAGGGACCACACCCCAGGCAAGAACGCAACCAGCACGACATTAACCACAGCACGACCACACCCCAGCACGACCACGCCCCAGCACGACCACGCCCCAGCACGACCACGCCCCAGCACGACCACCCCCAAGCACGACCATCCCCCCAGCACGACCACCCCCCAGCACGACCACCCCCCAGCACGACCACACCCCAGCACGACCACTCCCCAGCACGACCACACCGCCTTGGTTGAGTGGTTGCCTGTCGTCGTGGAATGTTTCGTGGGGTGTCTCGTGGAATGTTTCGCGGGGTGTCTCGTGGAATGTTTCGTGAGGTGTCTCGCGGAATGTTTCGTGAGGTGTCTCGTGGGATGTTTCGTGAGGTGTCTCGTGGGATGTTTCGTGAGGTGTTGCCCCGTTGGGTATCGTGAAAACGTGCCCATGCTCCACATGTCTATATCCCTTTCCGGGTTCGTGGGTCCATCATGTTTTTGAAATCCCGATCGATAAATCACAGGGTGCGGGCCACTTTTTCGTGTGTTGAGGATGTCTCGAGCGAAACGCTTGCTCCGCAGAGTTTGCCGAGGATGTCTCGAGCGAAACGCTTGCTTTGCAGAGCCGACCGCGACGCGGAAAAGCGCCCCGCGCGAAGGAATTTCGATGATGTTTCGACTAATTTGTTTGTTGTTGTACGATTTCCTGGAATTTTGGCAGGATGTCTCGAGCGAAATGCACGACCCCACCCTAGCACGACCATACCCCAGCACGACCACACCCCAGCACGACCAGACCCCAGCACGACCCCACCCCAGCACGACCCCACCCCCGCACGACCATACCCCAGCACGACCACACCCCAGCACGACCCGACCCCAGCACGACCCTACCCCAGCAAGACCACACCCCAGCACGACCACACCCCAGCACGACCTCACCACAGCACGACCACACCCCAGCACGACCGGGCCCAGCACCGACACGCCACGGCACGACCACGCCCCAGCACGACCACCCCCCAGCACGACCACCCCCCAGCACGACACCCCCAGCACGACCACATCCCAGCACGACCACACCCCAGCACGACCACGCCCCAGCACGACCACGCCCCAGCACGACCACACCCCAGCGCGACCACACCCCAGCACGACCACACCCCAGCACGACCACACCCCAGCACGACCACACCCCAGCACGACCCGATCGATAAATCACAGGGTGCGGACCACCCCAGCACGACCACACCCAAGCACGACCCCACCCCAGCACGACCCCACCCCAGCACGACCACGCCCCAGCACGACCACACCCCAGCACGACCACACCCCAGCACGACCACACCCCAGCACGACCCCACCCCAGCACGACCCCACCCTAGCACGACCACACCCCAGCACGACCACACCCCAGCACGACCCCACCCCAGCACGTTCACACCCCAGCACGACCCCACCCCAGCAAGACCACACCCCAGCACGACCGCACCCCAGCACGACCTTACCACAGCACGACCACACCCCAGCACGACCACGCCCCAGCACGACCACGCCCCAGCACGACCCCGCCCCAGCACGACCACGCCCCCGCACGACCACGCCCCAGCACGACCGCGCCCCAGCACGACCAACCCCCCAGCACACGACACCCCCCAGCACGACCACCCCAGCACGACCACACCCAGCACGACCACTCCCCAGCACGACCCACACCGCCTTGGTTGAGTGGTTGCCTGTCGTCGTGGAAGTTCGTGGGTGGTCTGTGGGGAATGTTTTTGGACCCAGACAGTGAAATGTTCGTGAGGGCTGGCGGGAAATGTTCGTGAGGTGTCTCGTGGGCGTTGTGTGAGGTGTCTCGTGGAGTTTCGTTGAGGTGTTGCCAGTTGGGTATCATGAAAAATGTGGTCCATGCTCCCACATGTCGCTCATACCTTCCGGGTTAGTGGGTCCTCATGGTTGACCTAGCTTGCGTGCCGCTGCACGCGTTTGGCTCAAGACATTTGTCAGGATAGGACGCAGCTGGCGTCTCTGCGGAACAGCGCGAAAATCCATTCACACCTCTATTGAACGGGGCATAGCAGCTAAGTCGGACGACAACCTTAAGAGTTCATCTGCCTCGATACCCATGTAAAGGAATCCCCAGGATTTGGATATCATACGCTCATTCGTCAGGGTATCCCGCTTGTCTGGCGAAAGACAGGTTCTCAGCCGAGAACATTGTTGCGTAAGGAACTTTACGCATTTAGTCATAGTGATCACCACAGGGGCAATAACGCGAAATATTGGAATAACTGTGGTGACAGTGCAACATTCGACGAGTCGCTGGGCTATCTCGTCAGAAGAAACGGAAAAGAGAGCGTGGAAGCATATGACATGTCCCTCCTCCTGGAAAAAAGAACCACGGATTTTAGGATGCTTCCAGTGGAAGTGGAGTCCTCCTGGCAATCAGATCAAGGATCGGATGTATCCACCATATACCGATCAATGCCTCAATGCCGGGGGGTCCTAGCAAGAATCGCGCCAGACCAGAGGCGGAAATCGCTTGTGCAGAAGACGGGGCCATGTCGTCGGCAGACGGCATGATGACCCCGCCTGCAGCGTATGTCATGGCATGCGGAGAGGAACTCTCTGCCGCTTATGATGCCGAGGTCAAGGATGCAGTCTCCGAGGTTGTCGAGGTTAATTCCGATGGTCCTGAGGACGAGCCGGCGGGCCACGGTGCCGTTGGCGCCGGTCATGTCGATTCTGCCGAGGGCGGCGAGGATGCCACGCACAAGGTCCCAGTGCCATCTGGCACGCCCGAGTCGTTGGCCACGGCCCAGTGCCGTCAAGAAATGACTCCTGACGCAGTCGAGAGCGTCGTGCGTGACCTTCCCACGCGTCAGGAACACGTTCCAAGCGCAGGTGCGGGAGGGGGCAGCTCACGGGCGAGCTCCAATTCCTTCCGTTCGAGAAGGATGATGGAACTAGGGCCAGAGTTTGACGACCCCGCCGGAGCGAAAAGGATTCGGCCTGTCTCGTCACAGACGCCTGGACCCGAAGTTGTCGCGGTGGATGCTGAGAAAGATTCGCCCATCGGGTTTCCCTCACAGGGCGCGGGTCACGGTGGCTCTGCCGCTTCCTCTTCGTGTTGTGCGGTCGTCGTTTTCGTCGTCGCCGTCGTCTCCCCTTGCTCGGGTCTCTCCAACCTCGCGAAGGCCAGGGGGGACGGGGGCCCCCTCGTACCGTGCGAGCAGGGCCCGGAAGAGAGCCTCCTGGCAGCGGGGCTCCCACCCACGGCCCTTTTCGAGAAGAGTCCTGGACGGCGCCCTGGGCAGGCCAGTGCCATCATGCAGGCCTTGCATCCGTGTGCCCCTCAGAGGCACTCGCACCCTTTTCCCCTGCCGCCGCTGCTGGCTGATTGGGACTCGCATCCAATGCGCGTAACCTTGGCTTCCTCCTCCTCCTCCTTGTCATCCTTGTGCTTCTCCTCTTCCCCCTGCGCCTCCTCATGTTCTTTTACGGCTTTTGCTCCACCTTATGGTTATCAGCATCAGCATCAGCGTCACCATCTTCACCCCTCGCCATCATTGACAACATTGACATTGTCGTCGTCATCCATCGCCATCGTCAGTACCCTCATCCTCATAGTCGTCGTCCCCCTCTCTTTCCCCTGTCCCCCCACCTCCTTTTCCTTCTCCTCTTTCTACTCTTTCTCCTCTTTCTGATCTTCCTCCTCTTCCTCCTCTCCCTCCTCCTCTCCGTCGTCGCAGAGACCATCGTCGTAGTCGTCGTCAGCCTCCTCCTCCTCCTCCTCCTCCTCCT